CCCCCTGATTCTATCCTCATATAAACCCTCTTGATCTATTACGGTAGTGCGACTCGGGTTGTGAATGACCACAGTCACCAATTCTTGTCATGTGTCTATTAGGGTTGTCACAGTAACCGGTGTAGCGGTAAACCCCAGTAAAAAAGTTGACAATAATAATAACCGTCTTGTTTTTAAAAGAATATATTATTTTGGTGGGATTACCGTGGCTGCGGTGTAGGCGCGGTGACCCTTACCAGCCACCGTATCATCTGCTGAAGTTGCCGGCGGCACATGCGCGCTTTGTTGTTTACAATCAAAACTTTCTTGAAGCTAAAGCTGAAATAAAGCCAAAGGAGGAGACGGCAGCGCTCAGGAAGACATTTTTTATCCCCCAAAGAAGACAAAGTCGGAAGTACGGGCATCTTTTGGATATTTGAAGAATGCCGAGGGACAGTAGATAGAAGACGGCTATCCTGTTTGCAGCACGTGCAGAAAAAGTGTCTGTGAAAGGCAGCAACGCTTCAAATCTGATGACACATCTGCGTGACCATCACCCACAACTATACAGTCAACGCAAGGCAAGCTAACGTTAGCGCTTTAGCTAAATTGCGTGATTTGAGGATTTGGGTTGAGGGAGAATGCAATGAGTCGCTATATAAAGCAGCTGCAGCGCCGCTACCTGCATATGAACCGTGTCGCGGACACCGCCATGTTGAAATGACGCTATGCATTAAGGGGCTCGCAGGGGCAGATAAGAGTTGGTCTCTCTCCGAGAATAATTATGAATTTAACAATGATTACTGCCTGATGACATTTTCCCACATCTACAAAGCTCACTGGAAGGACACAAACCGAGGACAATATTTTTCTGATATAGGGTTTATTACTCAAGTAAGGGTAAAAAAAGTATCTGATTAGAAGGCTACTTGAGTACTGAGTATCATCTGATCTAATATTTTTAAAATGATGACATCAAACAGACAAAAAATACGAAGTTATGGGCAAATATTGGTATTTTAAAGACTAAAGGGAAACAATGTGAACAAATAAGTCTGTGACAGGATTTAGCCTTGTTTGGAAGAGGGCTTAATGTTGCTGTGGCAGCAATACACCGCGAGGTGTCCAGCCTGCCTTATCCAAGGAAGAAGAAGGGAAAGTGAATCGGGGAACAAACACACAGACCGTGACAGTGACAGCGCTGGATTAGCCCCGTATTTCAGAGGCCTTGTCCATGTCTGACTTTCATGCAGCAGGAAATGTTTAACTGTGTTTGCATGTTTTCACAGAAAAGAGGGTGTGGTGTAATGTTTTATTGTGAAAGGGCTTTGTTTTGCTCAAATCTGTTTTATTGTGAAAAGAAAGAAACTGGTGTAGGAGGAGCTACAACAAATAACGAGGCTGAGTTTCCTACATTTGCTTGGATAATGTTGCTTAGGCTTTAAATAAACTAAAATTTGAACAATCTACAGTTGATCTATTTTTCTTTCATCTTCATCCAGGGACTAAAGTTCAACAAACTCCAGTCAGAGGTGCAGCAGCAGATAAACTGGTTTCTACGTCACTTTCCAGAAGTGAAACTGAAACTGATCCAGAGCTGCAGTCGAGACCAACTTGTGTGTTTCTGTCTGAAGGAGAATTAAACTGAGTTGATATTTTCTTCTCCAACAACTGACTCAGATATCGGTGAGTAAAACTGATCATATTTACTGTGTTTCAACAATCAGCAGGAAAAATAAACTCAGATTCAATCAAACAGGAAGTTTGAGTCTTTTCTCTTCCTGCTGAAACTCCTCAGATAAACTCATCTGAAGTGAAATTAAACCAAAACATTTTAATAACAGTAATATTAAACTGTACTGATTCCATCTGCTTTAATCTGTAGTTGTTCCTCTCTGACTCTTGTTCTCAGAGTTCAGACATGTCTGCTGGCAGCAGCCGGAGATCTGAGGATCCGTTTCTGTGCTCCATCTGTCTGGATGTGTTCACTGATCCAGTCAGCACACCATGTGGACACAACTTCTGTAAGACCTGCATCACCACACACTGGGATGGGGACAGGAGCTGCCAGTGTCCCGTCTGTAAAAAGGTGTTCAAGACCAGACCTGAACTGGAAGTCAACACCTTCATCAGAGAGATGGTTGATCAGTTCAGACACGAAGCTGAACAGAAAACCAGCAGCAGCTCAGAGCAACAAGCTGCCAAACCAGGAGAAGTTCCCTGTGACGTCTGCACTGGAACCAGACTGAAGGCCCTGAAGTCCTGCCTGGTGTGTCTGCTCTCCTACTGTGAGACTCACCTGGAGCCTCACCTGACAGCTTCATATGTGAAAAGACATCAGCTGGTGGATCCTGTGGAGAACCTGGAGGACAGGATGTGTCAGAAGCACGATAAACCTCTGGAGCTGTTCTGTAGAACCGACCAGACATGTGTCTGCTTGGTCTGTCCTGTTTTAGACCACCAGACTCATGAGTTTGTTCCTCTGAGAGAAGAATGTGAAGGAAAGAAGGCAGAGCTGGAGAAGACAGAGGCTGAAGTTCAGCAGATGATCCAGAACAGACGACTGAAGATTCAGGAGATCAAAGAGTCGCTGAAGATCAGTAAAGATGCTGCAGACAGACAGAAAGCAGAAGGTGTTCAGGTCTTCACTGATCTGAAGGAGTCTGTTGAGAGAAGCCTGAAGGAGCTCATGAAGGAGATCGAAGACAATCAGAAAACTACAGAGAAACAGGCTGAAGGCTTCATCAAAGATCTGGAACAGGAGATCTCTGAGCTGACGAAGAGGAGCTCTGAGGTGAAGCAGCTCGCATGCTCTGAAGACCACCTCCACCTCCTCCAGAGCTTCAGCTCCCTGAAAGCTGCTCCACCCACCAAGGACTGGACAGAGGTCAGAGTTCATCCTCCATCATATGAGGGGACCATGGTGAGAGCTGTGGAGCAGCTGGAGGAGAAACTCAGGAAGAAGATGAAGAACCTGATGGAGGCTGAGCTGAAGAAGATCCAGAAGTCTGCAGTAGATGTGACTCTTGATCCTGCCACGGCACATCCTGCCCTCATCCTGTCTGCTGATGGAAAACAAGTTCACTGTGGTGATGTGAGGATGTATCTTCCAGACAACCCAGAGAGATTTTCTCAGTATGCGTGTGTTTTAGGGAGACAGAGTTTCTCTTCAGGCAGATTTTACTTTGAGGTTCAGGTTAAAGGAAAAAGTGACTGGACTTTAGGAGTGGCCAGAAGGTCCATCAACAGGAAGGGAAACATCACACTGCATCCTAAAAATGGTTTCTGGATTGTTTGGTTGAGAAATGGAAATCAGTACGGAGCTCTTGCTGATCCTCCAGTAGATCTCCATGTTGATTCTGGTCCTGAGAAGGTGGGGGTGTTTGTGGATTATGAGGAGGGTCTGGTCTCCTTTTATGATGTAGGAGCTGCATCTCTGATCTACTCCTTTCCTGGCTGCTGCTTCTCTGATAAACTCCACCCGTTCTTCAGTCCTGGTCTTAATGAAGGAGGTAAAAACTCAGCTCCTCTGATCATCTGTCCTGTTGATCCATCAGTCTGATCTTTTCTCTCCTGAAGCTCCGTGAACAAAGAGTCTGTTTGTTAAAAGTTCTGATCTGAGTGACTCTGTAGGTGAAGTCCTGCTGGTGGAGAGGTGAGCTTGGAGACGTCCTCAGAAACAAGTCCACATTTTTCTGTTTGAGACAAAATAGAATCATGACTTTATGTTTTTAGTCCTTCTTCTACATGTTTTTGATTTTCTAATTATTTTCTATAATATCTCCACTAATAATTCATTCATCTGTTTACTCTGTGAAGTCATTATTATTAACTGGATGTTTTTAGTTTTTCTGTAGAATATTTTGCCTCCATAAAACATTAAAATACTACATGAAGATATATTTTTCTGGTTTTATAATTATTCTGGTTAATAAAAAAATTGTTTTAAAAAGAAAAAAGAAATTAATGTTTTGTTGAGTCAGCTGTTTTATTTTCCTCCCAAGAATCTTTCATGAGTTTTTATCAACAAACTGACCTGAGAAGATGTTCTGAACCACCAACCTGACAGCAGCCTGGTTCTGGTCTGGATCAGGGTTCTGCTGTGGGACCTGTAAAATGATTCAATGAGTCCAGAAAAAAGGTAAAAAAAAAAAAAAAGAAAACTATGAAGAAAAACTAAAAATAACAGATTAGATCAGAGTGATGTGCTGAATAACAAAGCAGTAAATAAACAAAAATAAACATTAACTAATAAAGAGCTTTATTCCACATCATTGTGTCTTTGTCCACATGGTCTGTCCAGAGGACTTAGTCCACATCAAAGACAATATTGTCTCTTGTGGGAAAAACATCCTGATATCCTAGACCTTTATGACTTTTCCAGAGTTTGACTCAAATGGTTCTCTGTACACTTGTTTCATGCTGAGTCTGCTGTGTTGGAGGACACGGTCAATACTGTTGATGCCATCAAAGTGAACTCTCTTCAGCCACTCTGCTGGATTTCACAGCTGGGTTGTATTATTATCAATGACCATGTCAACAATGATGCTTCTTGTTGTTTGGAGAAAAGCAAAGTCCTTCCACCATCATCTGGTCGTCTTTTAACTCTAGAAAAGGGACAAACACGTACATGTGTATATAGTAAATATAGCATAGTAATGAAGATTACAGCACTTACAGTATAGTAGGATAAATGTTCTGCAGCAGGAACATTTAGCTGTTCTCTAAATGTCCTGATGATGCTGCCCACAGACAATCTGCTCACACTGGGTTGAACTCTGTCCCTCATCATCCCACGAACAAGGACATGGTGGACAACAGTTGTCTCAATTTCATCAGTAATGACCGTTCTTGGTCGTCCCCGTCCACTTCCTCCTAGTCCACCGTGACTCTCATTTAGATGCTCGTGAGCCACCAGCTGACCTTTAATCTGCACACTTGGTCTGACCACAACTTTAGACAGATGTGTGTGAAAGATGACCGCTTTAGAATAAATGAGTTGAAGCCACTGAGAGTCTTCATGAAGGAATCAAAGCAAATAAACTCTAGCTTTATTATTCTGTTTCCTCTTCCAAAGCTGCATCTTCTGTGTTGTTTCATTACATTTATACATTAATATAAAAGGGGGAATGATGAATAAAGTACAGAATCCTAAAAAGAGACATTGGACAGAAGAACATAGACATGTGTAATCTCCTCAGACTCTTCTACCTCACTCGTCTGTCCACAAACGTCCAAGTTGAGACACAGAGAAAATAAAAATATTCTGGTAGACAGGTAAAAAAAAATCATGTTAAAAAAGAAAAACATAAATAAAACAGTGCAGAGAGTGAGCTTACTGATTCTTTTAGATAACGTTACCCCATAAAGTCTAAAACTGTCTAGAAAGTCAGTTTGTTGTCCGTCTGACCCAATCAGACGCCACGATCAGATCTGTGAAGTTTTAGATTTTTACCTAAGGGCAAAAAAAGCTGAAAGTCTTTGACATTTACACAATTAAAACAGAGTTATCTTTTATTGAGCTCACGCACAGCTGTGTGGCTGGTCCATTGAATCTATAACATGTATGTTTATATTTACAGAGCTTTAGATATTTACGCCTTACAGATTTACTGTTTTTGCTGTTTTGACACACTTTTCAGATCAGCAAACTAACACAGTTCTAAATTGGTTATTTCACCCATGAAGGGAAAATAAACTATCCAGACCAACCTGGTTCTGTGTGAAAAAGTAAAAGGACCCCTAATACTAATAACTGGTAGAAACACCCTTAATGGTTTATGGTGCTGGCTGTAATGTTGTCCCGCCCTCCTTTAGTTTCACTTGTTTAAGGTCAAAGGTCACTCATTCTCCTTCAAGGTTTTCTGGTAAAGAGCACAGAGTTATTGGTTTCATCATTACAGCAGGTGTCCAGGTCCTGAAGCAGCAAAGCAGACCATCACACTACCACCACCATGTCTGACTGCTGAAACAATGTTCATTTTATGAAATGCTGTTTATGTTGATCAGAAATATTTAGGTGTGAAAAATAAGAAAAACTAGAAGAAATCTGTAAGGTGACAGATACATTCTCACTGCACAAGAAAACTGCATTTCTCTGTCCAGGTCACTGTAGTTCTCCTATCAGACAGCAGAGGGCAGACTACAGCCGATCTAACTACCCTACTGTCAAACGTCCTCGTAGCAGTGATCAAATGTAGAACTCTTGCTCTTCTTCTGCCCTGTCCTCCGCTGGTGCGCTGATGACGCTGCAGCTGTCTGACAGGTTTATGGAGACGTCGCTGGAGGACGGCGCCGTACTCGTGCAGAGACTGATGATCTGGAGGTGTGACCCTGGCAAAGCCGATGAAGCGTTCTTGGTGGAGAAGCTGATTGGAATTCGGCCCAGTGTGGCGGACCTGTAAGCCTTTTCTGGTATGTCAGGGGAAAGGGGCCTGATGTCTTCAGGTGGTGCTGATAAGGGTCGAGGAGTGTGTGGAAGGCTGGCTTTGATGTACGCAGACACCACTGAAATGTCCACACTGCTGCCAGGATTCACCTTGTTCCCCGTGTCCACATCCGTCTCCTCCGCTCCAATCAGAGATTCCACGTTGAGTCTGAACGGAGGGACAAGGGAGGGGCTCCTTTCGAGGGAGCAGCTCCTGGTGTGGTATTTTGATGGAGGACCAGGAGAGTAGCAGGTAGAGAGGGGGCTGGCTGAGCCCCCATTAGGAAGTGAGTAGTGGGAGTTGGAGTGATGGTTCCTCCACTGGGAGCTGTGGATGTGGGGATGCTGCTCCTGCTCATCCTGCTCCTCACAGGCCAGAGGGAGGGAGTTGTAGGAGGTTTGGTGGACTCTGGGACGAGACGGTTCCTTCTGATGGTGACGGCGGTTTCTGTTGGAGGGGATGCTGCGGGTGAAGGATGGAGCCGAGCCTGATTCAGTGACAGAGGATGATAGATGACCGTGTCTCAGGTAGGCACCTTGGACCTGAACAGCAAGAAGAAAAACCAACAAAAGCTCATTATTAACTACAGACAGAAACTAAAAACACTCCAGCTGTTCTTATAAAAAGACATCACATAAAAAAGCCACCAAGATTTTGACCTTTTCAGCAGCAGGTTTTCTTCGGTAGAGCCAGTAACAACAACACTGACGTAAGTCAGGCAGCAAGGCTTGGAATAAACCATCTGATTACAGTTGTTGGTTTCATTATTTACATAAGTGTTTTTCCTTCTGTCACGTTAAATGATCCGATTACCTAATCATTCCTTTAATTTCAACCTTTCAGAAGTTTAGAGGGAATATTTTTATTTGAAACATTTTGGAAACACACAAAAGCAGATGTGACTGTGTTGGTATACAGTAGCAGCCTCCTGCAACAAATTCTGTTCTTCACCAGTTTTGAGTCTCAGTAACTCCCAGAGGTTCCCATAGCCTATCACAGTAAAGAAGTTATATGTGGCGCGGTATGGGGGCCAAAATTAAGACTACTGCCCAGCAGCAGGAGGCTAAATAAATTCCGAAGGAAACTACTGATCTGATTAATGATAAGCTGGTGCCGGTAACTGAGAGGCTGGCGCTGCTTACTGAGGAAAGCACCTTTACCGGCGTTACTAATAGATACGCTAGGGACTAGCAGCCCTCAGCTGGTCATTGACTGGTTCACACACTCCCTCTGCTGTCTATTAGCATGGATAGGCTAACGTTAGCCTGGACGGGCTGGTGTTAGCATTGGAGAGGCTTGCCATTAGCGTGCCTAGGCATGCCACTAGCTGGATTTCCTATGCCCTTGATGAACCTTAAGCATGGATAGGCTGGCATTAGCATAGGAGAGGCTAGCCATTAGCATGTCTCGGAGAGTCACTAGTCAGCTAGTGGCCAGCCTAGGCCCGCTAATGGCTAGCCTCTCCGATGCTATTGTCAGCCTATCCATGCTAATGGTCCGTCAAGGGGGTAGGAAATCCAGCTAGTGGCCAGCCTAGGCATGCTAATGGCTAGCCTCTCCAATGCTATTGTCAGCCTATCCATGCTAATGGTCCATCAAGGGGGTAGGAAATCCAGCTAGTGGCCAGCCTAGGGATGCTAATGGCTAGCCTCTCCAATGCTAGTTAGAAACTCTCCACCTGGCTCCTCTCTAAATCACCATTCTCTCATTTTTGGAATAATCCTCAGACCACAAAGCTCCGTGCTTCAGTTTCTTTGGGAGAGCTCAAAGTTCTTCTGAAGTCTTCTGTAACTGCTGTTCTTGAGCTGGATATAATCACGTCTCACACACATTTAAACTTTTTATTTTATTTAACTTTTTTATTCTTTGAAGTCTATTTTAACTTTTAAATGAAAACCATGTCTTGCTTGAGATAAAACTGAACATTATTTTGATTATTATGACTTAAGGTTGTTCTTCGTCTGGTTTTCCCCAAAAAGCTGTGAAGGAACTGCCTCTTATTCAGAATGTGTTGCTGGAGTTTAAACAAGAACCGAGAGAACCAAGCACATCACCCCTGTTCTTAAATCTTGGATCTAAATGTTGCCCACATCACACTGAGCTTCAGACAGGAGGAGTTGGAGTCTTATTTTCATCTCTCCCCGGATTGGATAACAGCAACGTGACATTATCAAGGACTATTCGCTCTGCAAAAATGATGATTTATGTATCTCCAACAATAACACAGGAGGAGCTTCTGCTGTGTGGTGAAGTTGCCATTGTTAAGGGTTAGCTTAAATCAGCCGACACGTCTGCTGTTGATTCTCGAATATTAAAATAACAACCTTTCCTGTTGAGTCAAGAAGAAGAAAGCATCATTTCTATAGCGCCTTTCAAGATAAAAATCACGAGGCGCCTCACAAAAGCAAAAAATGTAAAAATATAAAAAAGCATTTAGAAAATGATTAAAAATATGTTTAAAATTAGCAAAAAAATAGGCAATTGTGATAAAAAAATGTTAAGAAAGAGAGAGCGTGAACAGGAAAGAGGGAAATCAGTGGATCATGAGGAACGTGGAATAGGTGGGGAGAGCAGAATAAAGAGAGAGGGGGTGAATAAGGTCATTAAAAAGCCAGCTTGAACAAGTGAGTCTTCAGCTGCTTTTTAAAGGAGTCCACTGTGTCCACTGATCTCAGGCTCAGGGGGAGAGAGTTCCAGAGTCTGGGGGCCACAGCAGCAAATGCTCTGTCACCTTTGGTCTTTAGCCTGGTGCTGCACAACCAGTAGGCTTTGGTGAGTTTCAAGATTGGTGAGTCCATGAATGCTAATTCACAGTGTGATGTAAATCTACCACAAGTGTGGATCCACCCTCTCCTTATTCTGCTTTCCTCACCTATTCCGCCCTCTTTCCTGTTCACTTTCTCTCTTTCTTTGCATTTTTTAACCACAATTGTCTATTTTTGCTTGTTTTTAAACATTTTTAATCATTTTCTTTTTTACATCAAATGTTTTTGTCTCTCTTTCTTTGCATTTTTAACCACAATTGTCTATTTTTGCTTTTTTAAAACATTTTTAATCATTTTCTTTTTTACATCAAATGTTTTTGTCTCTCTTTCTTTGCATTTTTTAACCACAATTGTCTATTTTTGCTTTTTTAAACATTTTTAATCATTTTCTTTTTTACATCAAATGTTTTTGTCTCTCTTTCTTTGCATTTTTTAACCACAATTGTCTATTTTTGCTTTTTTAAACATTTTTAATCATTTTCTTTTTTACATCAAATGTTTTTGTTTTTGTGAAGCACCTCGTAATTTTTATCTTGAGAGGCGCTTTAGAAAATATCGTTTTCTTTCTTCTTTCATACGCAGATCCTAGACGTTCTCCGTCTAGTTTCTATAAGAAGCTAATGCAGGAGATAGGTGTAGGAGACTATTTTCATGTTCCGCCTGCATGAAAAACTCAGAGTAACTGATTATAAACAGAAAAAAACATTTTAAAATGGCTTTTCAGTCAACCAACCCTTTAAATCTCTATACCAGTAAACTGCAGAATCCATTTCAAAGTGCTCCTGCTCGTTTCTAAATCACTCAATGACATGGGACCAAAATACATGTCGGGTCTCCTTCTGCTACATACACCCAGCACAATGAATAGTCTCTGTATGAAATGTTCTATACAAAAAAAAGCTGCCTTGCTTCACCTATTTAAACCCCTAGCATGAACGGAAGAGGCCGATATGCGAAAAAAAAAATAACACGGATAGCACCTTTTAGCTGCAGATGGTTCCTGTTAAAACACTTCAATTGAGATTTGAACCATCTTCTTCTGGTAGGACCCAAACCTCCACAAAGACTTTACCCTGTACTTTCTCAGACTCCAGAATCATCTCCTGCAGTCTGAGCCCCAACTTCCTCTCAGGAGATGTCCAAACGAACCTTCTTGAGGTCGGCTGTCTTTCTTCAGTTTTTCCCACAAGTATTTTTATGTTTTCACTACCACTACTGCTGCTAGGTTTTCAGTTAATCTAGCCTCCTGTCACTTGGAGTTTCAGGTATCTGAACCAGGATATTAGGTGTGACAGCTGTTTGTGTTTTCTACTGGCTTTCCTAGTGTCAAAATACCTAAAATGTATAAAAGCTGAATTACATCAGATTTGTAAAACAGTTGATTACTTTGTTTGCATGCAGAACATTCAATGTTATATTTTGGCTTAAATATTTAATTTTAAAGGTGGATGAAAAAAGAACGACACCCTGTGGTCGCATTTGGGTACTGCAGTCCACATAAACAATCCGCTCTGGGCAACTGTTGCCATTTATAGCTCACCTCCAGAAGATTCTAGACGAGTGAAGATGATTCATACATAGTAACTTGATCAGTAGATAAATACATTTCACTGTAATATAAAGTTGTTGGTAACTGAAAAAGTAGCTGGAGACATTTTTTGAGCCGACTTATCTGTTTTGAGTTCTCCGTTAGCACTGTTAGCACAACGTTAGCCTCTAGTCTGCTTCACCTGATATTAGAGTAAAACAAAAAAACTTCTGGGCTGCTCTTTTTACTGGCTGCAATTATTTTCACAACATTGCTGCTTTTTGCCAGCCGGTGTTAAAGTTGAAAAAGCTGGTGCAACAGTGTCTGCTAGCGCAGACTTGGGAAACCTGTGGGCTTCAATATGATTGGCTCTGGGACCAGGAAGTATGAAGGCCAGGACAGATTGTAAACATTTCTGTATTTTGGGGGCTTCTGTGTAAACTTTTTCATTTTCTTCTAATTTTTAAACATATTTTCCCCCCATTTTTAATTATGAAGAAAATCCATTTCAAAGTAACCTTATTTCCAACAGGATTAAGACAGTTGAATGTTTTGTGAGTATTTCAATGAAGAATTCTTACGTAGTGTGCCTTTAACTTCTAAATTTGCAATTTAACAGGATTTTTCAATGCTCATAAGAAAAGATTTTTGAAGCATATGTGAGAGAAAGTGTCACGGTGCGCAGGTGAGTTTCCAAAGAAGAAGAAGAGGATCCAAAGAAGAAGAAGAAAATCCAAAGAAGAAGACGAGGATCTGAAAAAGATCCAAAGAAGAAGAGGATCAAAAGAAGAAGAAGATCTGAAGAAGAAGATCCAAAGAAGAGGATCCAAATAAGAAGAGGATCCAAAGAAGAAGAAGAGGATCTGAAAAAGACCCAAAGAAGAAGAGGATCAAAAGAAGAAGAAGATCCAAAGAAGAAGAAGAAGATCCAAAGAAGAAGATGATCCAAAGAAGAAGAGGATCCCAAGAAGAAGAAGAGGATCCAAAGAAGAAGAAGAGGATCCAAAGAAGAAGAAGAAGATCCAAAGAAGAAGAAGAGGATCCAAAGAAGAAAGAAGATCCAAAGAAGAAGAGGATCCAAAGAAGAAGATCCAATGAAGAAGAAGACGACGATCCAAAGAAGAAAAAGAAGATCCAAAGAAGAGGATCCAAAGAAGATACAAAGAAGAAAAGGATCTGAAGAAGAAAAGGGTCCAAAGAAGAAGATCCAAAGAAGAAGAAGAAGATCCAAAGAAGAGGATCCAAAGAAGAAGAAGATCCAAAGAAGCAGAAGAGGATCCAAAGAAGAAGAAGAGGATCCAAAGAAGAAGAAGAAGATCCAAAGAAGAAGAAGAGGATCCAAAGAAGAGGATCCAAAGAAGATCCAAAGAAGAAGAAGAGGATCCAAAGAAGAGGATCCAAAGAAGATCCAAAGAAGAAGAAGAAGATCCAAAGAAGAAGAAGAGGATCCAAAGAAGATCCAAATAAGAAGAGGATCCAAAGAAGAAGAAGAGGATCCAAAGAAGATCCAAATAAGAAGAGGATCCAAACAAGAAGAAGAAGATCCAAAGAAGAGGATCCAAAGAAGAAGAAGAAGATCCAAAGAAGAAGAAGAAGAGGGCCCAAAGAAGATCCAAAGAAGAAGAGGATCCAAAGAAGATCCAAAGAAGAAGAAGAAGATCCGAAAAAGACCCAAAGAAGAAGAGGATCAAAAGAAGAAGAAGATCCAAAGAAGAAGAAGAAGATCCAAAGAAGAGGATCCAAATAAGAAGAAGATCCAAAGAAGAAGAAGAGAATCCAAAGAAGAAGAAGATGATCCGAAGAAGAAGAAGAAGAGGATCAAAAGAAGAGGATCCAAATAAGAATAAGAAGATCCAAAGAAGAAGGAGATGATCTGAAGAAGAAGAAGAAGAAGACGAAGAAGAAGAAGAAGAAGAGGATCCAAATAAGAAGAAGAAGATCCAAAGAAGAGAATCCAAAGAAGAAGAAGATCCAAAGAAGAAGAGGATCACAAGAAGAAGAAGAGGATCCAAAGTAGAAGAAGATCCAAAGAAGAAGAAGATCCAAAGAAGAAGAAGAAGAGGATCCAAAGAAGAAGAGGATCCAAAGAAGAAGAAGAGGATCCAAAGAAGAAAAAGAAGATCCAAAGAAGAAGAGGATCCAAAGAAGAAGAGGCTCAAAAGAAGAAGATCCAAAGAAGAAGAAGAGGATCCAAAGAAGAGGATCCAAAGAAGAAGAAGAAGATCCAAAGAAGAAGAAGAGGATCCAAAGAAGAAGAAGAAGAAGATCCAAAGAAGAAGAAGAAGAAGATCCAAAGAAGAAGAAGAGGATCCAAAGAAGAAGAAGAATATCCAAAGAAGAAGAGGATCCAAAGAAGAAAAAGAAGATCCAAAGTAGAAGAAGAGGATCCAAAGAAGAAAAATAAGATCCAAAGAAGAAGAGGATCCAAAGAAGAAGAGGATCTGAAGAAGAAGAGGGTCCAAAGAAGAAGAGGATCCAAAGAAGAAGAAGAAGAAGATCCAAAGAAGAGGATCCAAAGAAGAAGAAGAAGATCCAAAGAGGAAGAGGATCCAAAGAAGAAGAAGATCCAAAGAAGAAGAAGAAGATCCAAAGAGGAAGAAGATCCAAAGAAGAGGATCCAAAGAAGAAGAGGATCTGAAGAAGAAGAGGGTCCAAAGAAGAAGATCCAAAGAAGAAGAAGAGGATCCAAAGAAGAAGAAGAAGAAGATCCAAAGAAGAAGAAGAAGATCCAAAGAAGAAGAAGAGGATCCAAAGAAGAAGAAGAAGAAGATCCAAAGAGGAAGAGGATTCAAAGAAGAAGAAGATCCAAAGAAGAAGAGGATCTGAAGAAGAAGAGGGTCCAAAGAAGAAGAAGAAGAAGAAGAAGAAGAAGAAGATCCAAAGAAGAAGAAGAAGATCCAAATAAGAAGAAGAGGATCCAAAGAAGAAGAAGAAGATCCAAAGAAGAAGAGGATCCAAAGAAGAAGAAGATCCAAAGAAGAAGAAGAGGATCCAAAGAAGAAGAAGAAGATCCAAAGAAGAAGAAGACGATCCAAAGAAGATGAAGAGGATCCAAAGAAGAAGAAGAGGATCCAAAGAAGAAGATCCAAAGAAGAAGAAGATGATCCAAAGAAGAAGAAGAGGATCCAAAGAAGATCCAAATAAGAAGAGGATCCAAAGAAGAAGAAGAGGATCCAAAGAAGATCCAAAGAAGAAGAAGATGATCCAAAGAAGAAGACGAGGATCCAAAGAAGAAGAAGAAGACAGGAATGTTTAAAGAGGTTTTTAATGATAATCACGCAGGACATGGAAACAATGGACAGACAAGGAACACAGAACTTGGAGGGTTTAAATACACAAGGAGCAGGGATCTAAGGTGAATGGGAGACGAGAGGCAGGTGGGAGCAATTAGGAAAGACAGGATTGAACAGAGTGGGGTGACAGGACAGATTGCGACAGAAAGAGCTTTCTTTTCTCAGAGTGCTGGAACATAACACCAACAAGGATGCAAAAGAGGGGTGTGGTGAATCTTCAAGACCATTAACTTCCATGTGTGGGGTTTTCATGCAACAGGGCTCCTCTCACAGTCTGGGAGAACATCAGAAACCACACACTCCCTGTTCTCAGGTCAGCCACTTTATGATTCACAGCAGCAGCTGGAGGAGTCATCAGCATCCCAACGAGGCCCCTGTGTTTACCACCTCCACTTCAGGAGCACAGCGAGTTAAAACAGAGTTCTGCTGCACAAAACATCACATCTAGGTGCTCGTCCTCCAGGGCTGGAGATGGAAGCGTTCATGTTTCTAACATGTAAAACAGCTGCTGTTGTATTCATTTAATCACTCTGATTTCATTCCCCATTGCACAGCATCATTTTCCTCTCATGTTGATCGTTTCTCCTGATTTCTGTTTTCATATCAGAAACAGGAAAAGGCAGAAGCAACAAGAACAAGAGAAGCAGCTTCAAGAACTCAAGGCAAGTTTCCCACAAATTTGGTGGATTAAATAACTAAATGTAGAAATAAAATGCAATCATAGCACATATACTACAAATATGAATCAATACAACTTTGAAATCAACAAAAACAAGAATATTCTAGGCTGATCCTTGATAAAATATGTATGCAAGTGTATCTAAACAGTGATGTGTTTTCTTCTGCTCATGTCACATTTCCTCCATTTTCTACTGTCCTCATCCTGTTTATCAGGTATCTTCTCATTTTCTCTCCCTTGTTCTACACACAAGTGGCTGTTGTGAATAACTCATTTCAGCCTTAATGAGACCAAAGAAGAAAGAGGATCAGACGAGTGTTTATCTCAGAAAGCCAACAGATCAGCTGCACACATTTGAGTTTATTACACCCGTTTGTGTTCATGCTTTCATGCTACTTCAAGGTTTTTCTAACTTCGCTGTGAAACAATGCTGGTGAGCAGCCGCAGCAGGGGGTTCTGGGTAATGAGGTTGCTGACTTGGCTATAATCAAACCCTCAGCGTTGTAAGCTGGGGATATCTGGGGATAAGCCGGGTCAGCCGGATATCCGACCTCAGGACAGATTCTTAGCTAAACATTACTGCTGGGTCCAAAACATTTGTTATGTTTGAGTTAATAAAGTATTTGAGATGAGATCATCTCAATTTTCTATGGATCTCTTATATCAGGATGCAACATGAGTGATTTAACTTCAAAATAAATCACATTACTAATTTAAATATGGAGTTCTTCCAGGTTCTGTAGAATAACGCATAAGATGCAATATTATGCAATATGTAATATAATTCATCCATCCGCTTATCCAGAGTCGGGTCGCGGGGGCAGTAGCCTAAGGCGAGAGGCCCATACTTCCCTCTCCCCAGCCACTTGGGCCAGCTCCTCTGGGGGAATCCCAAGGCGTTTCCTGGCCAGGTGAGAGACATTGTCCCTCCACCGTGTCCTGGGTCTACCTTTTAGGCCTCCTCCTGGTTGGACGTGCCTGGAAAACCTCACCGGGAAAGAGTCCAGGAGGCATCCTGACCAGATGCCCAAGCCACCTCAACTGGCTCCTCTCGATGTGGAGGAGCAGCGGGTCTACTCCGAGCCCCTCCCGAATGAGAGCCCAGCTACTCTGCGGAGAAATCTCATTTTGGCCGCTTGTACCCGTAATCTCGTTCATTCAGTCACTACCCAAAGCTCATGACCATAGATGAGGGTAGGAACGTAGATCGACCGGTAAATCGAGAGCTTCGCCTTCTGACTGAGATCTCTCTTCACCACGACAGACCGGTACAACGCCTGCATCACTGCAGAAGCAGCACCAATCCACCTATCGATCTCACGCTCCAGTTTTCCCTCACTCGTGAACAAGACCCTGAGATACTTAAACTCCTCCACTTGGGGCAGGACCTCATCCCTGACCCGGACAAGATATTCTACCCTTTTCCAAATCAAAATAATATATTTCAAACAACTGAATAAAAAAAATACATTTATGTGTATATAAATAAAAACAAATTAGAAATACATAAAAAATAAAAGTGAAAAAATAATAATTAAAAAAAAAGTATTTCTGTTTAAACAGTGAGGATTCTACTAGATTCAGTCTGAAACTAGAAGTTCTCCCTTTCTGAATGGATGCATAGGTTTGTGCTGCATTGTGGAGGAACGTTTATGACCTCTGTCCAGCTGGCGTTTAAGCATCCTGCATATGGTCCATTGTCACAGCAGATTATCATCTTCTCAGTGTTGCTCCAATCCCAGTAATGGACTGCAGCTTAATCTGGATTAAACTTTCCAAACGACTTGTCTGACAGCTCCTGGACACACATCCACTCTGAAACGGATACCCTCCAAACAACAACCTTTCTGTGTGAATTAGCCTCTCTGAACAAGGAAGTATTTTCATTCACACACAGAGGCAGTCGCTGTAACGGATGCTTCTAGAGTAACTCGGTGATAGGTGGAAGTTATTGCTCTTCTGGTGCACTTATGTCACTGAGTGGGTAAGAAGCAGGAAGAAAAGCAAAGATTTTGGCTCAGAAATAAACATCCCAAAAGTCCTCACCTGAAGTAGGATCTTGTTTCCATCGTAGTCCTCCGTCTGCCAGCGGACGTCACTGATAGGGCTGCAGGGGTGTGGTAGAAGGGGCACCAGCACTCCAACGTCCCGCACCCGGACCTCCATCACGGCCGACTCCAGCACCATGGGTCTCTGGCCCCTTGGGAGCCTCTTAAATGACAACTGGATTTCCATATCAGGGTTGGAGTAAACCACAAAGAAGCAAAAGTCTTCCTTCTTCTGTGCTACACGGCGCTGAAGCAGCAGCTTATACAGCCGAACCATGTCAACATAATTTTCATGGCGACAGTAAACTGTAAATCGCACAATTTCCTTGCCGCAGCGGACCTGCCGCACGGCCCAGAGAGGTGTCCCTGCAGACAGAGTGAAAAAGTCCTGACTGCAAGGCGTCAGCGGCAGCGTGCAGCGGCCATTGCTGACCTTTTCAGTGTGGTGGTAACACCATGGTGGCCTCTGCAGTGTGCGGTGCAGCATCAGAAGTTGCTCCTCGCCGCCGTACACCTCCTGGAGGAAGAGGATGACTGCCATGGCAGGCTGACCGGTCATAGACTGGCTGCCATTTTGATGCCACTTTGGTCGAGGTCGCTGGGAGGCAGACGCCCGCTCGGACACTCGGAAAAGCTGCAGCTCAGGGTGGACCCACGTCAGGACGGCATCGGTAGCATGCTGCAGTAACTTTCCCTGACCGGGGTCAGTGATGAGGTGGACACTGACGAGGAACGGATCCTGGAGCTCACCCATGGATAACTCGCCTGTAGAAAAGGCCAAAAAAGAAGAATTACTTCAAAGTTTATTTGTTTTTTCCTGAAATATCTGGCGTGGCTGGGGGTGGGATGATTTCCAGCAAAGAGCTAGGCATGGGTTCTGGAAAGACAACGAGGAATCCTGCTTACAGGACCACCTCCATCTTTCTGCTGAGCTGTTTTTACAGCTACTGGAGTTATTTTCCTGTGACAAGTTTTCCACTTTATCCCCATCTTCCCTTCTCCCACAGATGTCTTTCTCTAATCTGTCTCCACTTCACTCATCCAAATCAAACTCCATCTGTTTGGGGGGGGGGTCATGTTTACCTTTCTCCCCCGTCTCCGCCTCCCTCCTCTCTAGCCTCACCCTAACCCATGTGGAGCGCGGACGCTCATTAGAGCCATTAGGAGTCATTACGGAGGCCCAGAGGAATGTTCCAGACCACAGCGAGAGCGACGCATTCAGGTGTAGCCTCTTCCTGATGCCCTGACCTGGAAAAGCTCAGCACCGTGACCCAGGTGCTGGCTTGTTTCCCAGCTGGTTATATTCAGGCCATGTTTCCGTTCTCAAATGTTACGAGCAAACTCCATCTCCTCCTAGCTTCACCTCTGCTCCGATTTTCCGTTTTAGGAATTTATCCGACGGTCTTTATCTCGCTTCTCAGGAGGCTTGTCCCATTTTATGTGAGCTGTTGTGAAAGGACACTCAGTCTTTACTTGTCGCCCCTGCAGCGGAGTGTTTGAGTGTTGCCAGAATCCCTCCATAAAAACAGAGAGGCCGAACAGGGATGGTGTCTGTCTCATGAATCCCACTGGCCTTTACAAAGGAACAGTTCCTGCTCGGCCCAGAGAGGTGACATTTCCAAAATGTTCCGATCGGGTTACTGTGAAAACATCGGCCCACTAGAGCGTTACGCTGGCAACACATGTCAAATATTAAAGGGTTTGATCAAAACATTTGATAAGAATAAATTTACGTACTCAGGCAAAATGAGAGGAAAGAAAACAAATTTTGTGCCATTTGTGTAAAAATGTTTCCCATTGAAAATACCCAGTGTGCTCTGGCGAGGCCAGCTGGCCTTAGAGAGGCAACACTAACATTAGGCACGAACCGCTTTTGAAGTCAAAAATAAAAGAAAGAAAAAATGGAAGCAAACTTAAGACTCCCACTCAAAACATCATATCTGGGTTAGAAAACATGTATGAATCGGGTTCTTTGGAAACATGGAAATCAAATACGACCTCTTTTTATCTGTTTTTAAAAAACTAACATATCTGAATGATTAAAATGTAATTTGTGGTCTCTTTGTCTGCTGAATAGGAATGTGTGACGTACTGTAAATGTCATCATCTGTGGTGTTTTACAAGGGACCTCTTGTTCATTGCTCTCCATACTCTTTTCCCAGCACTCCCTCTCTACTTACACTGAGTGTGTGTGTGTGTGTGTGTGTGTGTGTGTGTGTGTGTGTGTGTGTGTGTGTATCTCATGGATGATTAGAAGAGTCATTACTGGATCACAAGCACAAAAATGTCCTTAAGGCTGTAAGTTTTACAGATACTGAACAAGAATTTACCCTGGTTGTAGCCAAGAGTCACTCATCATCACACATGCTAGGATTAATAATTCACACAAGATACTATGATTTTGTTAGCAATCACACTTAAACAGCAGAGGGTGCAGTAGATATTTTTGTCATATTGGTTGAACTGTTCTTCACATATCGATGGCAACCAATAAATTTAATTTTTTGTCAAAAATGAATACTGTAATCACCTTTGGAATGTATCCTGAAAAAAATAAGTAAATCTCATTCTTAAACAGACATTGTGTAGATTTTACCATTAATTTCTGGAAAAATCCATCAAAAAGTGGTTGAAAATGAATTAAATGATGCCCAGTTGTTGAAAAATATTGGGCTTCGTAACACATAACCATAAAAATCAGTTCTAAAATACATGGGGGCGGGTCTATAAGTCTCCGGATGACGCCATATTAGTTGCCATGCTTCCTTCTACAGGAGCCCATGAGGGCAAAATGCATTTACTGATTTGTAACAAAAGGTAAAAAAAACTTTCGTCATTCTTAAATGTTGTTTTACACATTTACCTCTTCACTTGTTGCCAGTGATGAAAGGGAGTCTGATGCATTTGTTATTTTGCTAAAGTTTGCATTCCCCGGGGCTTTTTGACCCTAATGGGCATCTGTTGGTAAGGTCTTACTCAACACAAAAATCCTGCTTGCTTGCAACGATTTAGGTATCTACTGCCCCCATCGCCAGGAAAAATACACACTGTCACTTTAATTACTGGATCACGATCTATCCATCAAACTGCACTGTGACCATCACTCCCCCCTCTGCACATGACCTTCAACGTGCACAAATCGCGCAAAGCCAGAGCCGAGATGCCGATAGTGGAATGGACAAAATGTTTGTCATTTGCAAATTTCTTTCAAAGGGTTGTTTCACATGTTCCATTTAGAGTCTGGTTCTGTTCTTGCTGCGAAACGTTTAGGTGACGGACTTGTTGTCTGTGAATACAGCCAGTCTTCTGGCAGAGCTGTCAATCAGTTTGTTACCTCTGAGGCACGCGTGTGTGTGTGTGTGTGTGTGTGTGTGTGTGTGTGTGTGTGTGTGTGTGTGTGTGTGTGTGTGTGTGTGTGTGTGTGTGTGTGTGTGTGTGTGTGTGTGTGTGTGTGTGTGTGTGTGTGTGTGTGGAGGGGGTTTCCTCAGATTGTTAGTGGCACTGAACTGCTGCGATTTTGAAGTAAATAATAAACCAAGAAAGTTAAAACTGTATTGTTTTGTAACACCACACTATATTAGCTAGCTTACCAAGTTGTTATACAGCTATGTAGGTGTGCGCTACATTTGGAATTATGGAGGAACAGGTGAAGAAAACAGGACAACTGAAAACTGAACCCTCTGGATCTAGCATTGGGCGTTCCTGTATTCTGGAGGCCCGCCTTAGTGGGTAGCCTGGAGAAAGATGGTTGGACATTGGATTGTGTTTTTCAGAAAGTAACTTACTCAAACAGCTTTTTCAGGAAAGATTGTCTTTAATAAATTCTTCATTTATTAACATGCTGCCTGATTGATGCAAATACCCACCAGATAACTGAAGTAGGACTTACTCCGTACTGTTTTGGTCAATAAGAAAAGAGAGGCCACATTAATTCGCTGCTGTTTGCCTTTTAGGGTTAAAATATGATTTCAGACTCACAGATGCATCTGGTGCATAATGAAAATACATACCCACTCAAACAAGATGTAGTTAATCACGGTGCACTTAACCAAAAGGTATAATTTATACACCTCAATAGATTAGGCTAATGCTTTCTTCCTGCAATAAAGTTTAATGGGGTGCAGACAAGGGGGAACTAAATTAGTAATTAAGGCACCTCAGATTTATGGAGAGAATGAAGGCAGTTTGGAGGAGTGTGTCTCTAATCTCTTAATCCTCTTGGAGCTGAGGCTGATGTTCTGCCTTGACTGAGTACGTGCAGAGGCATAACTATCATCAACGTGCACCCTGCAGACGAGCCTGTATTCTGTAATTCTCTGAGACTTTTACCTTCGCTTTGTGTTCAAGTGTTAACTGGTAACACATGCTCGCAGGCAGAACCCGCAGATGACGATGTGAGATAACAAAACAATCCTCCCAGCGGCCCCTCCACATATGAGAGTGATTAGAAGGGAAAACTGGCCTTCGTGTGTGTGTGTGTGTGTGTGTGTGTGTGTGTGTGTGTGTGTGTGTACTAATACTTAGATTTATAGTCTGGCTCTCAGTCAAAGCAACTGAAAGGGGACATTTAGGATGGGGCTCCTTTTTTATCATCTGGTATAAAAAGATCATTTTCAGCCTTCATGCATCACTTAGGTCAACTTGTGCAAAAAGTTACAAGTCATAGTCTTTACTGTTTAGTAAAATCCTGCAATAAGCTTTAATGGCTGGCTTTTACTCATTTTTAACATAGCAAACTTTCTTTATATTTATTACTCTGATACAGATTGTGTCAAAACTGCTTTGAAAAGTCTCCGATATTAACTAAGTGACAGAATAACGCGTGTCCATGCCAACAAAAACAAACTGTAATAATAACTGTAAACATATGGATATAAAGATTGTTCTAATTTAAGTGGAAGACAGAGTTCAAACAAGACTAACAACAACAGAGGTGAACAATATCATTTGGAATGTGTTTGAAATACGAATGGCTTTGATCAGCAGAAAACTCAAAAAAACAAAATTACATCTTAACATTTGTAGATACCTTCACGTAACTTCCTGATGGATTACCTGATGAAATAAGAGTTTTATTCCTAAAAGATCGATGAGCTAACAGCTAGTCTAAAAAAGGTTTGTAGGTATTAGTAGACAAATGTTGAAATTACTTCACAAGGAGGACTAATCAAACCCTTAATCCACCAAACACAACATGCTCCAAATTCAAACATGGCTGATGACAATAAAGCTGGCTGACCAAACAGCTCAGGTGAAGCATCACATGTTAAAGTATCATTCCAGAGTTTTCGCCTTTCAGAAATTATGTATGATTTTTCAGAAATCCGTAAAACTGATTATCTTATCATGTAATGTGATATAATGTAAGCAATACATCTTTTATTCTGTTTTGCTAAGCATGCCCCCTGCCCCGTAGAGCTCCGTGCAATAAGAAACTGAGTGCCGACGAGAACTAACCAATAGCATTAGACTACCGCTTACGTGCTTCAAATTTAAGGAATAACCTCGGCTGATGCAGAGTTGATGAACTTTTCACAGGCAAGTAAGTCTTTAAAATATAAATATATGAAAACACAACATGACACGAGAATAATACTCGTACAACAACGTGTTTTAGCTGTTTGTCGGCTACAGAAAAGCATGAATAGAAGAAGAAAAAGAAGAAGAAGAAGAAAATATCATTTCTATAGCGCCTCTTAAGAGAAAAATCACGAGGCGCTTCAAAAAAACAAAAAATGGAAAAATACAAAAAAGAATTTGGAAAA